GTTTGCTTTTCATGTTTTATTTGTATGTTTTGCTATAATTTTTTTGGAGTTTTCTCTTAAGGGCTTTCTAGCGGCATCTAGAACAAGTGAAAGAGACAATCTACGTCCCTAATAGTAAATCATTGTATCTTGTTTTATTTTGAAGTATTAATTCAAAAAATCAGTCATTGTTTCTCAATTTTTCATATTTTTACTATCATTTCTTGTTGATTTCATTTTCAAGGCGTATCAACATAATGATATTACTGGAAGATCCATCCGAGAGCTTAATGGGCGAATCTTGGTTAGTCCTAGACAATCTGCGATTCAATTGAAATAATCGTACTGTATAATCAGAGGATCATACAGTACGATCTAAACACTTATAAAGAGTCTTTTGGGCCAAAGACTTGCTAGCGAGAAGGCTAGAAATCGACATCTCCGCTAGGGAAAGGAGCTGAAAGGAGGGATGACATCTCCGCCGGGCCGAGAAGTGAGGGCATCTCTGCTGGGCTGAGGAAGCAAAAGGAGGGAAGACATCTTCGCTAGGCTGAGGAGGCAAAAGGTCATTATCCAGCTAGCTATGTGCTGAAGGTTTAGTGAGATACACAAAAAGGAGAATCTTTGGGGAGTGGACGTAGATCAATCTGATCGAACCACTATAAACATAATTTGCTTGTTTTTACTTTTATGCAGTTTAATTTTGTAAATTTATTTTACTGTACTCTAATTTTATTTTAATTATCTTTGTGAAAGAGGTTTTTGGTGATTGATCTTTGGTTGAACTTTGCTTTGAAAATCATAAAATAAGAAATAAAAAATATATTTTTTCTTAAATTTTTTATAAACAAAAAAAAAATTATATTTAGTTTTTGTTTCAAATTGTTTAATCTTTTAAACACTTTCGCATATCAAGTTTTTTTTTAAGCAAACAATTTTTAATTTTCAAAAAGATTTTAAAAAATTAATTCACCTCCCTCTTAATGTGTTATAAGCAATTTCACAAACTTGTGAGTTTAGAAAGTGCAGATGTTTGTCTTAGAAGTACATTAAAATGATGTATCCGTATCTTCTACTAGTACTATTTTAACTTCTTGTACACATTCCTCTACATATTATAATTCTTTAAAGCATACAAAATCTTCAAACAAAAATACGAAGAAAATAAATTTTCCTTTATTGATGCCTTACGAAGTATTAAATGTAAATTCTACATTAGTTTTTTTTTTCATCACATGTTTTGATTCCTAAAGGCCCTATTTAGGTCTACATCACCTACACACGCACTTCTTTCTTATTTCTCTAATGTTAGTAGACCCAACTTAGCTTGAGTACCAATTTAGAGAAACTATATGATTAAGTTCAAAGACAAGTGCTATGGAGAGTTCTAGAAAAGAATGGGGTTAATAGTACTTATATTCAAATTATTAAGGATATGTAAGCATAGTTGTTACTTGTGTTCAAATACAAGATGGTTTGACCAAGTATTTTCCTAGCTGGCTTACATCAAGGATAAACCTTAAGCCCATATCTTTTTGCTTTAGTCATGGATATTCTTACAAGGCATTTACAAGAAGAAGTATCCTGGTGTATGCTTTTGCTTATGATATTCTTCTTGTTGATATGACTAGAGAGAGTTGAAGGTAAACTTAAAATAATGGAGGTCAACCTTAAAGTCTAAATGTTTTTGTTTGAAAAGACATAAAACCAAATAAATGGAGTGTAATTTTAATAGTAATAGATCTAGTGGGGGTATTGTGACTTTGGATGACCAAGTCATTAATAAGAGTACACGTCATACTTGTCAACAGCAAATTGCGCACCACGATGCAGAGTTCCCGTAGAGTACGCGATGCACGCCATTTTGAATATGGTGCATAATTAAAAAAAATAAAATAGAATAATAAGCATATAAAATTAAGTAAAATATTACTATATATGTAGGCATTTTAATGAAGCTCATGACTTAAGATTCTTCAAATTTGCTTGATATATCATGAAGATAGTATTAGGATTGATGGAGAAATTTTGATAACTTTACATGTTAAGTATATTGAGACGATCAAGCCCATGTTTAACTAAAGCACATACAAGTTGCTGCTAATAAAAGTTTTAAAATTGAAAAAGACGCCTTGCTCACACAGATATTTCCCTTCATTCCTAATCTTAGACTTTGTTTCTTCTACGTAGCATTTTTCCTAAGTTTGTAGTAGATACATTTTCCCTGAACTTATAATCTAAATAAAAAAAAATGCAAGTTGATCAAAATCGATCGACCAAAGGAAAAAGGAGATCGTTACCTAACAACAACCCATGACTTTGGAGGAATCAAATGAGTTGACAATCAAAGGAGACAACGAGGCACATAGAATCTCTTAATTCCGTAAGCAACGGACGGACGAAGATATTCGTAATAACCTAGACAAATAAAGACTGGCGGAGAAATATGAGGGACAAATGGCAGTTGGAATCGTATGAACAAAGACAAAATCCAGTGTGGAATCATGGAATCGAGTGTGTTTGTGAGGCTTTGGGCGTCTGTGTGGGCTTCAGGGCTTCGACTACATGAGGGTTCGTTCGGCTGTAGCTAATAAATCAATAACTACTAACCTAAAATTCATTGTTATATTTGATGTGGTCAAGCCGTACCTTCTCCCCCATGCTACCAATAATGATGTTTCGGTTCCCCTCCCTTTGGTGGCTGTTGGAATTCTGCTGGTTGCTTCGGTTTCCATTTGAGTGCCTGGCTATTGGGTATTTTGGCTGTTCGGATCCTAGGCTGGTAGTTGGTTTTCTGATTGTTTGGTTCCTAGGCTGGCCATGCCTCTCTCTTGGGTATTTCCCATGTTCAGGTTGCTCCCATTGGAGGTTTGGGTGGCACCTTTAGGGGGGGGGCGGGGGGCTGTTTGGATTCCATTTCCCTATTTATAAGGGGCTGTTTGGAGGCTTTTTGGGATGTGTAAATGTTTGGAATGTAAAAACCTGCGGGGTTTTTAGCTTGCCAGCTAAGTCTTCTTTCCCCTTCTCCTCTTATATTTCGTCTTTGACTTCTAGCCTCTTCTTCTCTATCCATTGTTCCCGCTTCACTTGTATCCTTCTTCTCTAAATTAATATAAGTAACATGTTTGTAAGTTTGTTATGTTTATGTTATAAAGAAAAACTTTTTGTTTGCAATCTTAATTATGCTTTTTTATTGCATCATTTTGGTATCAGAGCGTCAAGGTTATTATGAGTGTCTAACTTTCCTTATTTAAAAATAAAAAAATGGAAAGTCAAAATAATCAAGTTGAAGGCAAACAAGAAAATCATTTAACTATGCCTTGGATTCCTAAGGACATGCTTCCAACAACAAAATGGGTTCCACCTCGAGCATATTCTTATAATCCTCTACAAAATGAGCTTCTCAAGATTCAAAGACAACTGCATTTAAGTTTCGAGAGATTTTAAGCTAAGAAGCTTCAACTCCTGTCCGAATTTGAACGAGAGAAGGAGATCATCAATAGAAAGCATGACATGTTAATTCAGGAATCGGAAATGCTAGATCTTCAAAATTTTGAGTCGAACTCATCACGAGATTGATTTGTTATTAATTGTTATTTAGTCGTTATTTTAATCATCATAAGAAATATGGTCATTTCTCAAATTTTTAGAATAAATTTGATTGATGGTCTCATGTTTTAGAATCTTCTATTATAAATAGAGTTCCAAAGAGCAATGTACGAGCAGAATACAATTGTTGCTTGGAATGATATTTAGCATGCTCCACTCCCTCTTATACTGTATGCTCATTCTCTTTTTTCTTTTATAAATCTTTCAAGGCATCCCTTTACGACATTTAATATCAAAACCCAAAATCATTCCAAAAATCATTCCCAGAAATTCAACAAATGATCTGTGTGTTGTAATGAAGATCACGTTCAATGAATCCATGAAATTTTTAATGGTGTGTGCTTTTAGGTTTCTATTTTTCATCTGTCATCCACAATGGATGTATTTTTTGCTCAAATCCCTCAGGTGCAAATAATTAGCCTACCAACCAATCAACTTTAAACCAAACCTAACAAAATTTCACAAACCCTAAGCCCTTGGTTACACACTATGCCTTTTAACCCCACTATTTTGGAATAACACAACTTTTAGAACTGTGTGTTCTGCATGATCCGCCATAACTTTTACGTTGAGCATTTTGGTTGATTCAAACAACATAGTCAAAACTTAATCTGCAAGCTTGCTGTTTAAGTATACTTTTACCTTACCTAGGCCTTCATTTTATTTTTGTTTTCACGATCATGGATTGAAATAAATATTACTTCAGGATATTTAAAATGAATGGTTATTTCTCACAAAAAATTTTAAAAGGACGTGAACTATGACAACTTTATTTCCAAAAAATACAACAACAACAACAACATCAAGCCTTTATTTCCAAAAAATGATGTTGATAAAAGTTGATAGTTTAAATCTAAAAGGTGATATTTCTTTAAAATTTGAATTCTGCAGCATCATTTACTATGGAGTTTGCTGTACACGGGTGTTAGATTTGAAATTTCCTTCCGGTGTGAAAGAAAGCAAGTTCCACATTGCATTCATATTGGATTCATGACATTATCCATTTTCATGCTCTTATATAGAACATATATAGGTTAAGAATGGGCCTGGATGAGGGGTTGTCAGATCCAGTATGAGCTGGAAGTCTTAATTTCAAAACATGAAAACAGTCTGTCTGCAATGCAAGGGTAACGCTACATACATAAACCCTTCCCCGCACCCTACATTGGCAGGAACTTCATACATACACTTCTTATAGTGTCCATTTAGGAAAGCCGCTCACAGTGAAAGATGTTTTCCTTAAGCATGATGTTACTTGTTTGCTAACTTTCAAATATCTCCGCAAATGTCATGGATCAATAAAGAAATCCACACAATACAAATTCGCAATTTATATGAACATAGGAATGCTAGTCGTTTAAAGAGCAAAGCTATTAGAAAATATATACGTAGTAGCTGAAAATGAAACAAACCTCTGCTTCAGGAAGTGTGCTCAGGCCACGATCATTTCTTTCGTCTAATATCCCACCACCCATCATATTCCTGGCTTCTTCCCTGATCAAAACAAGTCTAGCAAGCAATTTTCTATCTGGAACTGTTGGCCTGGCTTCCATTGTCTGTAACGCATAAAAAAATAGGAAAGAGAGGAAACTATGTTTCTTATAGAGCTCTGTTAATTAATACACATAATAATTCCATTCTAGCTTTGGAATCCGGAGATTGATATTCATAGAATTATCAACTAAGTTTCATTCGATAAATCCATATGTACAAAAGCACAGAGTTTAAACAAATTACAAACCAAATAACATCATCAATATTACAGATATCCTGATTATATAGAAATAACAAATATTATTCTAATAATTTTCAATGTTGTGTTCAATCATTAAGAAAGGAGAAATACTAATAAAGTTATCCTGGAAATTTTCTTTCTTGTTCTGTCGGATATTGCATTTAATAAAAGCTATAGAGTTACTACTGACAAATGAAAATTCCATTGGTCTCCACCTAGTGAATCATATATGAAGGGATAAATAGAAATTGCATTGTCCCTACCAAATATTTATGGCCAAAATGCCCAATAGGTTAGTAATCAATACACCTTTCTAAATAAAATTTTAATAATATGAGTTGCATAACAGCTAATTGACAGAGAGATTGCCTTGCTGCACATTAGAACAAAATTTTACTTACTAACAAGCAAAATATGATAATAAGTAATAGAAGGCATCTATGAGATGATTTTACAAACTATGGCCAAACACCCAGAGAAAAAAAAAGTTTTAAAGCTGTGAGAAATTTTTCGCTTAAGAGGAGAAAACTAGTCCTCTAAGTACATTTCAAGAATGAAATAAGAATGCGATTATCACTGATAATTTAGAACCTTACCTCCAGCAGGTCATCAGCCTGGTTGGCTATATCATTCAGATTTGCTCCTGGTAGTTGTACCTTTAGATCATTTTCCCCTTTGAAAATACCACCACCACCAGCTACTCGACGTAATAATTCATGTCTGCTTTCCTTAAGAGGAGTTCGGCAAAGCAATCCAATCACTTGAACCTGTTCTAATGTTTTGAGCGGTTGATTACATTATTACCAATGAAATTGATGAAGAATTTCAAAATTCTCATTCCTTCAATTAGTTTTCAGTTTTTTACTTTATTTCTAACTCACATGGGGTGGACACTTTTTGGTAAGATGGTCTAAAACTGTTTGCTTGAGAATCTCCAGAAGAGACTTGCGCTGAACACAAAAAATGTTTCAACATGTCATGAATGCAACCAAGAAAAAGAAAGCTCAAACACTAACAATTACATAATATTTGATAGGAAGGATAAATTAGAAAAAAACACTTGTAAATAAGATGATTGCAACTGTAGAAAGTTCAAGCCCACTGCTTTATTTTATCTAAATAAAATAAATATTTCATTTCAAAAGCATGTTTGCATGAACATTGTTTCACTTAAAAAAAAACAAAGAAAACAAATTGAAGGTGGCTTGACAGGTTAAAAGATAAAACTGCTAATAATTGAGAGTTGGTGTCAATTTTCTTCAAGTTTATGAGTTAATCAACAAAAATAATCATGAAATTTAAAGAAAATGATTAACATAATATATATATATATATATCACCATGAACTGAAATGTCCCTTCGAACTACACAAGTCGAAATATCTTAAAATTGGAAAAGTTTCAGCTGCTAATCTGCATTTGACGATTGCAGCATTCAGTAGTACTTAAATGACACTTACATTTGTATGTTAGTTGTTTTGAATCTGTCATGATGTTTTCAGCAGCCATCAACACTTATCCTCAGCTTACATTATCATCTGGTATATATTCATCTATAGCCCATCTTATCTAAAGCCTTTTCTAGCCTCCACTAAAACATATTAATTAAAACATGCTAGATGGTTTGAAGGGAAAGCAGTCTAATCAGTAATTTCTAGTGACATGCGATGAAAAATCTATGAAGAATGTGATATAACATCAACATTAATTGGGATTTCTCACTTGTTGACTAGCATATCAAGCATCATTAAAATTTTATGCAGATATACCAACAACAAAGAGAGGAAAACTACAAGTAAACAAGACTTCACAATATTTGCAGCAGATTTAGACTGCATTTGTCTTGGCTTCTTGAGAGCTTTGTGTTTTTGAGAAAGACAAAAAGCAAGTAAAGAGGATGTTTGTCTGCACCACATTTGAGAAAGCCATTTTCTCACATTGAGAGATTCATTTTCTTAAAATTTCATTTTGGAGGTAATTTTCGGCTGCATTTGGCTCTGCTTTTTCAGAGTTTTAATTTTTGACAAAGCTGAAAAAAGAAAATGTTTGGCTGCATTGCATTCAAGCCATTTCCCTGTCTTTTGGAGGTACGTTTCATAGCTATTCCAAGAAAATGTTGGTTGATAGGTACCTTCAAGAATAGTTGTACTCAGTCCTATGTTTATGGACTTCTTAAATATTATTTTATTTCTCCATTTCTAATGCAAATACTATTTAATAGAACTATTTTTTTTTCTTACATCTATGGCGTATTGAAATAAATGAGCACATGGTTTAAAATTGGGCAATAAGAGGCGCGCCTCAGCGCAATTTTGCCCATTTAAGCCTCAAAGCCTACGCAATGAGTTCAGGATTTGAGGTGTACGCCTCAAGTTTACTGAGGCGCGCCTCAAGGCGCACCTCGCCTCACGGTTGAGAGGCTTCTGCTTCTAAAAATTAAAAAAAAAAAAGCTAACCTAATATATATTTGTTCGGTTCAGACCCCCCAACCCCCGCGCAATCTTCCGTCATTTCCCGAAAATAGGTTTTCTCCCTTCTTCTTCGAGCGACCTTTTTCCCTCTTCGTTCGGCGTCGGCGTCCTTCCACATTGAGTCGCTCTTCGTTTATTGCTTGGAGTTATCTTCTACCGCAAGTTGGGTTGGAGTTATCTTCTACCACGACATTTTTTCCTCCTCGTTCGGCGTCCGCTTCCTTCCATATTGAGACTGCTAGGTATATACTCGGTACAACAATGTTTGGCACCACTAGGTACATGCTCGATACCGAGCTGGTACATGCTCGATACCGCTCAGTACATGCATGGTACCACTAGGTACATACTCGGTACCGAGCTAGTAACGCTCAGTCGAGCAGGTATATGCTCGGTACCAAGCGGTACATGCTCGTTACCGAGCGGTACATGCTCGGTACCGAGCGGTATCTTTCCATACAAACAACTTATGAACTTTAAAAACAAGCAGAACTTCAAAATTACTCTTACAATAAAACTGATAATGAGGAAAGACCTGATTGGGAGACATTGGACTCTATAGGAGAGGAGGAAGGGGAGAGAACAGTTCATCATACTAATGATTCAAATAAAGACCCTCTTAGTAATGACAGTGCTGATGACTTATGAGTTCTTATGTGATATGTCATTATTATTTATTTTTGGAATTATATGTTAATGAAAAGAATACTATGATTTGGGAAAGATGGAGTTTGAGTTGAACTATATTTCATGTTGTCTTATTATTGGGATATTTTGATTTCACTTCATATCTTGTGTATTTTTATGTTTTATATATTATTTACTCATTAGTATATACAAAATTTATCATTTTATGTTTACGCAATTTTTTGATTTTGAGGCTTACGCCTCAAAACTCCTTGAGGCTTACGCCTCGCCTCACAAACGAAAAACGCCTCAATACCCGATTACACAATTTTAAACATTGGATGAGCATTTTTGTCTTTTATTTATTTGTAAACAACATCAACACTACAGTTTAAACAAAGAAATCAAAAACAGTTTCTGAGTTTTTAACAGCAGCCTAATCGCAAGTCATTCAATAACATCAATAACTTCAGCTATAGCAGCTTTTAAACCAAGGTTTCTCCATAACAATTCTCCACCAATTTTACCAACAGCTACAGTTGAACCTAATGAAACGTCATATATCATGCTAGTGTCCTTTTTATTCAATAAAGTGATTTTTTATAGCTTCAATAAAGAGATTTTAAGGTTTGATGTTGTTGTTATTATTGTCAATGAAACATACTAAGGACTACTGTAGATATTTTATTGTCAATTTTAAAGTTTGTTAGTATCTATACTATACAACTTATACAGTGAAATTGATCTGCTTGCAAAAAATGGTCTCACTTATGTCTTAAAATAATTTATAGCATCAATACGTAATAGCAGATGTACACAGTAAAAGAAAGCAAAGGTTAGTAAACAAGACTTTCAAAGTTCTGCGGCAGAGGTCGTGCTTGATTCTTATAGATTTCAGGTAGAGAATCGCACCAGTAGCCTGGTGACATAATGACGGATTGGTACATCATATGTGTTGTCCTTCTCTAATGTGCTTAATCATCCCATTGCTTCATATTTCAGCTTGATGAAAGTAGTTCGTCAAATTAGATTTCCCTTTCATCTTGGTTTTAGATAAGGCCCCAAAAAAAGAGCTTATCAAAACTAATAAGAAGTAGCTTGTGGCAAAACCGCCTCATAATCTCTTTTGGAACTACAGAACTGTGAACAATTTTAGCGATTTGCTCTCTTACCGGAAAAAAATTAAAAAAATAAAAATAAAAAATTTTTTTGCCCGATAATTCGAATTATGCTCATTGCTGTTTTAGAATTATCCCCATTAAATAAAAAATGCGAGAGCGTTGGTGTCAGAACTCAGAAGCAACTGGTGGCTAAAAGAATAAATTGGCTGAATCACAAAAGTACAGCGGAAAGCAAACACGCACGCTAGTTAGCAAAAATAGAATCATTTAAGTATAAAAAAACGGACTAAGCATTTCATCACTAACCTTGTCATCATTATCCTTCGCAGCAAGTTCTATCATATAATCAAGAGCCATGATGAAACCCGACTCCATCTCATCAACCCTTTTTCCTATAACTCCTTGTGCTGCGATCTCCACCGCCACTGCCTCCGACGCTTCATCCATTTCCATGTCCTCAAGCTGAAAAACACGAGAAATTATGTGATCGATGACATCCAACGAATCATTTACAAATAAGCAAGTGAATAATTGCCGTAAATACCAGCATGATCATTTGCTCAAGAACAGAGGTGACCTGCTCACCTCCTCTGAGGAGGGCTTCCTGCGTTTCAGGGTCTAAATTGCCATCTTCGTGCTCGAATGTAGGACGGTCGCCTGGAAAGGAGGAGGAGAAGACGGAGCAGGGAATACGAGAGCAGCGACGGTCGTGCTTGTCCTGAGAGGAGTGGGTTGAGAGAGGAGTGGAGTAGGTAGGAGGGGAGTGGAGAGGAAGGAGGGGAGAGAGAAAGGGATATTTGATGAACGAAGGAACGAGTTGGGAAGTGAAAGGGGAAGGGCGGAGTAGGGAGAGGAATGAAGTTCCTGCCATTTTTTCTGCTTCTTCTGCAAAATCAATTTGCAGGCTTCGCTATAGGAACTGGGTTGGCAAAGGAGGAGATGAACGAGATGTTGAGGTTGAAATGCTCGACAAAGACAAACTATGTTTCCACGGGAGTCAGTGGGAAATTTAACTCAGAATAGTCTTAATTGTAGAAATATATTCATTATTTAGAAATTTTTACATTTGTTCTATTTTTTCAAGATAAAATTACCTTCTTATAATTATATTCCCGTTATATAGAAAATTGAAGTTGTCTTTCTACACATTTACTTTTTTATTTGCTATAGTTGTTGAATACAAATTTGTTCGCCACAATACTCAATCAAACTAGCATTCAAGTTGTAAAGAATATGATTTGTAAATTTGTGTGAGAATGAAAAGAGGATAGAAAAACTCTATTAAAAAATCGTCTACTAGCTCAAATGCCTTTATAGAAAATATCAAAAGATCCAAAATATTCCACTTCATCATTTATTTATAGAAATTGATAACTACATAAAATGTTACATCAAAAAAGAGTAAAAGTACAATAAATAAATAACCCCTACTACAGAGTGCCTTAGACATGTTTTGCACTCTAGTTGACTAGCAGATGGTTGTAGCTCTTATTTTTACTCCTCTGTCTAAGGGAGAGTTCCCTTATCCCAACTGTATACTATTGAGTAGAAGTAGAAGAGTCCATAAATAAAGGCCGAAGTGAGAAGGATGTGGCTAGCAAGTACTTTCAAGTCATTGGTGACCTTTTGATGGAGCCCCAAAATTTTGAGATGTGGGAGATGAGTATGTTTTAAGTAGTGGGGGTAGTAGGGTCTATGGTCGGTTGATAGTGAAATGACAAGCTAGAACCTCCTGGAACGAATTTGATGAAAAATATGGTTGATGGCATCTGATCTTGTGTAGAGGTGAGTGGCTTTCATGGTTGCATCTCACCTGGGGGCAAGCCTCAATATGGTGTTTCATCTGTACCTTTGGTTTTCCCATGGGAGGCAACTTCTCCTCTAGCTTTCCTAAAGAGTTAGGGGCTAGTGATCCTCAAGTGAGTTCTCATTATGAGGTCTAGGAGGCATGACTTCATCTTCTATGACCTTTTGACTACTTGTTAAATACTTTCAAAGGCATATTTGAGTGTACATTTAGTTTCTCAATTTATTTTACCTGTTGGAGGGCAAATGGAAAAAAGGACAAAGGAATTAATGGGAAGTATTTATTAAAAGTTCCAAATAGTTAAAAGAAGAAAATACAAAGTTATTATCCTACTTTTATTGTATCATTAGTAGTCTTATAGATTCTTCATGATGATAGTGATGTTGGCCACTCATATCCATCTCTTATAGGAAGCAATCCCTCACATAAGCTCCTCACTTTATTGAACATTTAGTTGAAATGTATTGCATTGCAAGTGTGATATAATGGACCATGTCAAGCATGCAATGTTTAGCATAATACCTATCAGGAGGGCAACAATCCACCTCCCTAAGAGCAATAAAACTAATAAGAGGGCAAGTGACCCTTCAACTAGCAAAGAGAAAGGTGTCGATGCTAACCCTCAAAATATTTAGGGAATTACTAAAATTGTGCCCCCTCATCTCATAATGTAGACAGAGGTGGAACAAGGTTTAATAAAGCTGTCCACGACCCTGCTGACTAAGACTATGGACCCCTCAAAAATTATTATTAAGGGTCGAGCTTGTTGAATCCATGAAGAGTGACACTCCTCAAGTTTTTGTATGAGGCTTACGAGGCAAGTTCCTCTAGTGTAGGAAATAAAGGATGCAGCTAGAAAAGAATAAAGGTTATTACTAAAGAAGAGGTATCCTCCATAAAAATCATAGCAACCTCGTAGGGGACGAGTTCACTACTCCACCAAAGAAAGGTAAGAAGAACTATTTGCAATTCATAGAATGGTTTCTATCTAGTAGTTATGTGCCCTCCTCCACTAGTGATCCCATTATATGCATTTTCTTAAAGGAGCTATTGAGTCATCCACCAAGCAAGTTCAAGGAATTATCATTAATTAACACACTGTGTCTCAAGCTTATACATTGAGACTAATATCCTCCATAAACAAATTTTAGTGGTTCATTTAAGTTTTTTGGATAAGGGGTTATCCATTATTGACCCTTCACTAGTGGCCTTAAGGCCATCATCTGCAGGAAATGTGCATGTATTCATGCCCACAGTTGTGGCAAAGTAGGAAGTTGAGGCCAAGATGATCATGGAGGTGGTCTTCAAGAAAAAGGAGGCCCTTGTTGTGGAGGAGACCCCAATCCCTTAGGAATGGTGACTTTAGTGAAGTCATTTTTTTCACTCTAGTTGTGCTCATAAGCTGATGGTATCCAAGCTCATGTATTGAGCACACTTAAAAATACTAGTGGAGTGTCTAGGTGCCATAAAGAAAGTTATAGTTTGTTGGGAGTAGTTGGTGAAGGAGGGAACTCCCATAGAGGCGCCGCCTTAAAGGTGGACATCTAGCTTATGAAGATATAGCGGTTTTATAGCTTGAGATGATAGTGACTTGTAATCTGCTAAGGGTGAACCCATTCATAGAAGGTGGGAGGTTCCTCCTTAGTTACCTACAACAGTTAGGGTTGTTATCACCTTAGGTGGCAAGTATACCTTTGTATAATATTTTTCATAGTGGCAAGTAGCCTCATTCCACCTCCTTATCTCTTATATGTAAAAAAAATTTATATGTAAAACTTTGTTTAATTAATACAATTTCATGTTTGGACGAATACTTCATATTTGGTTTCCTAAATCGTATTGTAGCTGTTACATTTTTACTATTGTGATAGTTATTTTTATGAGTTTTCTAGATAGTGAGAAGAAAACTAAGAGTGGATTTGAATACTTAATTTTTATTCTCATTACTATGAGTTAGCTATTTACCTTTGAGTGATAAGCTTTTGGCTTACCTACTGAGTAGCAACCTTATATTGTCTGACATTTTTCTTATAAGCAAGGCTCTTCAACAAAGTGTGTGGTGTATCACTCATGGGAAATTAAATGTGTGAGATGATTTGTGGGTATTTGTTATGAAAAGTGAGAATAAGCCCATTATATCTTGGGAAATGATGAACAACATGGGAAAAACTAGGCATTGATTGCAAATATAAATAGCACTTCAATATTTGTGTACCTTCGCCTTCTATAAATTAACCTCAATTAAGCCTACATGGGAGTGAGCTCTTCAATGCAACTCTTCTTTCTTTTCAATCACTAAAGTGAGTGCATTAAGAGACCATATGGAAACCCTTAACAAGTGTGAAACTACTTTCACAAAAGTTGATTTCTTGCAATTATTTAGGGAGATAAATGAATATACTGACTATATGTTTTCCTACTGTTACGGGAATTCGACACTATGGGTTTACATACCCTTGGAGGATGAGTACCTGAACACTTTTTTCCATGGAGGAACTCTACATCCTCTATGACCACTTCAAATTAGGACTACGACTACTCTTCTACTATGAGTTTGTAGAGATTTTGAACTACCATGAAACTATCCCAGCTCAAATGCTTCCTAACTTAGTGGTGACTGACATCTCATTCATCTCCTTCTTATAAGTGCAAAGCTGCCCTGGACACTAATCATGTTTTTCCATGTCTTCATAATGAAGTCATTCAAAGGTAGTTGCTTTTATTTTTCCTCCATGGTGATATGGACTATTGGTTTGGCTAATTAAATGTGAGATTAGTAAGCCATGTTCATCTTCATTCACAACTCTGTGGAATGTTTTATGTCAACTTCCACCATGTTATTCCCTAAAAGCAAAGTGGTGGTCCTCATGTTGAATGAGGAGGTAAAGATGATGAGCCTTCTCTTTGGAAAGTTGTTGATCATCCAACACCACCTAAGCTATCAGCATTTCTACAACACCTTCTATAGTAATAATTTTAAACATGCCTTATTTAAAAAAAAAAACACTCTAAGTGTTTTAGCCACTCTAATATATTTTTTTTCTCTTTATAAATGGCATTCCATATTATAACTTCCCTACGAACCTCATAGAGCTGCAGTACTTTTGCGAGGCCTCTCCCTCACGTTAGGAAAGAGAAAGATAGCATGTTGAAGAGGGACCATCCATGAGTCCCAAGGAGGTGCAAGAGCTACCTAGAAAGAAGAAAAAAAGAAAAAGAAAAAAGGTGGCAACTCATGCTCATTTGAAGAAGCCATTTGTGAAGAACTTATGAAAAGTAAGAAGGTGCAAGTGTCTTCAAAAGAGAAAGGGATTGTTACTACCCTAATGGTGAAGCCAACTAAATTGTGTCCTCCAATAAGGATTTTAGGCATCATCATCAATGTGGAGGCCACTAAAAAGAGAGCTGAGGAAATAAGCTACTATCAACCATTAACAATAGTGCTAGGAATGGAAAGCGAGTTGCCTGTGAAATTAATGAGTAAGAGGAGGATCTGAGCTTCTCTTTGGATCATTCTCACTTGTAAGAAGCATCATTCTCAAAGGGAACCCTCCAAGAAGGTGATATGATCAGGGGTGAGTGGTCTTCTCAAGGTCATTAGAGGTGGCCCTTAAGATAATCCCAGAGAGTGAGCTTAGTTTTATAATGATGAACTCTATGGGAAAAGCCTAGCAGACTATCTTCACACTAGCTCACAGCTAATGATGAGCTATTATGATGGTAGCCTCCATATAAAAGGCCTATGCCTATATTTAGAGTTACCAAAAGGAGGAGTGGTTGGCATGACACTTTATTAAGAGATAAGGGTGGTGAGCTATGGGGGAGGTTCATTTAGAAGTAGAAGGTCTTCTATGTGGAGGTTGAGAAGGATTAATCCTTGAAGGAAGCTGTAGTCAATGAGAAGGATCTTATGGAAGCTAAAGATGCCAAGTTATCAATTGAGGTCAAGAAAATAGAAGACAAGTATGATGCCTTCTTCAAGTGAACTAAGTACTAGGAGGTCCTTGGTTACAAAAATAAGGAGTGGATCAAGTTCTGTCTAAGAAAACTTGTTTCTATATGTGAGCTTAACAAGAATTTCCAATATCTAATTAGGGATTGAGTCACCTCACTTTTGCATATTTTTTCTTAGCCTAGAAGGTGGAATACATACGTAATGCCATACCATAGGATTGAAATGAAATGGAAAATTCT